AGGTAAATTTTAGGGAATTTGCGTACGACGATTCGTCACGTGGGTTATGATTTTTAAAATATCCGATGAAAGTCTAAGAAAACTATGCATTGGGTCCGGGCATAAAAAATGCGGTTGGAATGACCGTCATCAGTTTTCAGCACACGTGCTTCACCACATTCGCAGAGCTCCACAAGAACCGGCGACATTTAACTTAAATTAGCAAGCGAAACCTAGACATCAAACTCATTACCGATATGGGGTGGACACTTAGTTCAGTAGCTGTGGATATTCGCCCGAGACGTGGTGTTGCATCTCTGATAATATAGCTCTGCATCTCAAAAGGGCAGTAAACTCCTTAATTTGTTGCACGTCAGGGGTCGTCTGAAGCCACTATCAAAAAACAAACCCTTGGTGGGTTGATTTTGCTGAAGGTGGTGTGACGCCATCATCAACGAGCCATTGTACGGGCAAAAGTAAAACCCTTCCGAGCACCTGGAACAGAATGCAGCATCTACTGAAAAATATCAAAAGTACAGGTTGCAGCGAAATTTCTAGACCTGAAACTTGTCTGGCTTGATGCAATGATAGAAAGTTTGATTGTACATAATTCGTGAGTGGTTGATTTTCACCAAATTAATGCCTACAAATGCGGTGTGGATTTTATTCCACGCATTCCTTGAAACCGATCACAAGAGCAATTAAAAACTGCGTAGAAAAACCAGCTTCTTTAAAAAATCTCCAATACCTTCGCAAACCAATAACGCTGAGCTATAGAAGCCGTAAAATTAAGCTAAGTACTCAAAGTAGGCCTAGAAAAATTCCGAACAAATTTTAGAAACCCGCGACCGCTCACTAAAGACTTAATATTTCTAATAAATGGTGTTCAAAAAGACGGATTTGCATGAGAGTTTTCCTTGGTTGAACCGTCGTTTTAGCGAAAAATTGTGGGCGTGCGCCTCAGGATCAGCTAATAAGACCACTCTCTTCTGGACCATCTGCTTGAACAATCAAGTGCCTCCCTTTCATCCGGTTTTGAACGTCAATCTGGCTCGCCCATTCGTTTACGGGCCGTTTACACGGCATATTACATAGGTTTATCAAACATTACACTCACCTATTAGGTTTCTTGCACATACATTCCTGCCTGGGTTGAAGTAGTTCGGGTAAGAATATTGCTGCCCACCTTCGCTCCTCTTAACCGCTTTGTAATATTCTCCGTACAGCTAAAGAACCAGAACTATATGAGGGCTATCCGTAACTCTCCCACAGTAAAGTCACTGAGCTTACCTATGTCCCGTTCGTTTGTGTGCTGCGCTGTTCCGACAACAGAAGGAATAAATGCTCTATTGGATTTTGTACACTCGCAATAAAAGCTCCAGCTTCTTTCATTGTTGATTTTGTTTGGCAGCTGGACTGGCGTTTTGGACGACCGCCACCTTTATTCTGCAAACATAACTTCTCTGAGGGATTCTGACGCCGGGCTTTTCAAAGTGAGACTCGTTATACCTAACAAATGTCAAACATCACGTGTCCTGCCAAATGGACCATTAAATGGCCCAGTACTAGCATTGCCACATTGACCGTTGGTTGGGCAGCCTCAAAAATTAACAAACTAGAAGACGCCAGATACCTGGTCGTTGTAGGTTTAAGCTTTGATTCCCTCTTTTGCCTCGTATGAGTGGTTCAAAAGACCTGGTCACCAATGCATTTTCTCATTTTCGACCGAAAGAAGAGTTTGTGAGCCCTCTACAAGCCAGAATTTACTCCAAATGTGGCCATAATTGCTACATATTTTGACATTTTGGATCCCGCCTGATGTGCGTACTGGATCTCATGTGAACATTAGCTCATCGTTGTTATGTAAAAAGTTCATTTTTGTTTTTTCTGAGGATAAAAGCAAGTGGTTTATTGGTCGTAGATCAAAGTCACATGTAACTGCGTAAACAACCTTCAAAACCCGCCACTACAAAAGAAAACCTTTTATTTCGCGCATGGTTTTGTTCAGCTTTCTGTAGACTGTCTTGTACAGTCTACTGGAAGTGCGTCTGAAGGCATGGATGTTATACGAAACGAGGAGCTGTCTGGTTGTCTTACAAAAACCTCAGACACGTGATTCATTGCCAGCCTCCTTTTCTTTACATAAGTGTTTTTTTGCTGTTCACGCACAATCTCGTGCGTCGGAAAGCAGAATGGCCCGATTAGATTTTGCAACTCTGATGAAAATGGTGATCGTCTAGACTGAAAACAATTAGCGTTGGTTTCTGAATTACATAGACTTTTTGGATCTGCACGCAAGCGACTTGATATTTGCGGCTGTCCATATCAACTATCAGCAACCGAGCCACCTTGTTAACCTGGGACTCCTAGCTAAAAGAAACCACACAGGACCCGTGTGGATGTTCTCTATCGCCTGTGATATACTGGTTATAGGACTCCCTCAAGGTTCATTATTGTAGCCAACTACTCTATGCTAGTGAGCCAACCGGTCGGTTGAACTCTGATTCTGTTCCCCCTGTCAGGGAATTGGTGATTGACGCTAGGGTCACTAGATCCACATTTCAGTCATTGCCCTTTATGTTGGAAGGTAAGCGGCCAACGAGCGCGGATGGCGCAGAAGTGATCCATCTACCAAAAAACCGCCTATAAACGTTTGTCACACTTTTTGAGGTTTAAACGTTATTAAATGCACAATCGAACATGAGATATCGGACATCCCCAAAGGTGTTATCCGATTTGCACCACTTGCTGTATACGGCACAGAGTAAAAGTAACTCACTTGAGCATGTACGACTATGGTTTTTCATCGTCAGCACTCAAGCGATAGGTATACGCTTTGCCGCATCTGGAGAATAAGGCAATCGTTCAGTATCGTTGGGCAACGGCTAACGTTGCACGTTCGATTGTATATTCCATCAGCCTAGGTATGTTGAAACGCTTCAGTAGTGTCCATACGCAAAGAGGGGCGATTAGAGATGAGATTAAAAGGCCTTGCCTAAAGGCTTGACTATGCACTTTGGCTTTTAGCTAAAAAGAATGTCTAGATGTTTTAAAGTGTCACTGCTCTTCCAGCCCCTTACACGAAGGTCACTAAAGCCTCCATATAATGGCCGACACGCAAGTAAAAATTTTTTCAAGCTGAATTGACGCAGTACGGCAAAGATCAGCAGACTAAGAGGTTTAAACGCCATCACACTACCTCAAACTCCAGCTCCTGTGTGATGGGCCGTTACTCTTAAATGCCTCAAAATTCATGTATACTCCCCGATACACAAACGCCTACCTTAGCCTCGGTGGCTAATGGTGTGTTAAAAAGCCTTGCTCATTAGGTTCCACCTGTTCGGCAATTATGCATCCAAGTTCGTGCGAAAACTCAGCAAGAATGAAGGATTTTCGCACAATTATCTGCAGCATTTAGCGTAGCCCAGGCAGCTGTGAAAGAGCGGGGTGGTTCACGAGGGTTTTCGTGGGCTGATACAGTGGTACTTGGCCGTGTATTCCGTAAAAGCCTCACACAACTCGGCGTCGGGACCAAGAAGAATCTGTTGTTCCACATCACAATGCCAAACATGTACCCTGAGAATTTATTGCCGCATAACAGACGTGTAGGAGCTGAGAAATTCGTCTTATGGTGTTTTACCATATATTAAGTCACCTGGAGATATTTTCAGTCATTTTACGTCACGGTTAGACAATCAATCAATAAATGCTCACGGACATTTCCTGATACTACTTATAGGGATTGAAATCCGTTGAAATCCGAAATCATCGAGATCCGCTTTTTTGTGAGTCATTATTGTTGTTTGCTACGTAGAACTTGAAAATTAGTCAACGGTGGCGATGTTTTTGTATTCAGAAGTTTTTGAACCTTGGAATATTCACACTTATTGCCAGTTCACAAGCCACAAAACAAGACAAAAATATTTACTCCGGCAATTTCGCAACCGGTATGATACCGCGGGGCCAAACCGTCGCGACCGGGTCCCGCAGGACAGTACCGCATGAGCAAATGTTTGGAGCAAACGGCTCCAACTCGTTGCTGGCTGGTGAAAGCGAAACTGTAGGTTAGTTAGTTAGAACCCGTTCAGCCTGTATAGGGGGCGTGTTCAGTTGTTTATCGGTCAAACACTGTTCCCTGCATAGACATAAAAGGATACTTCGTATTGACCTGAATATACTCTCCAGCAGTTGCTGATGGATTGAAGTGCCACTGTATATCCATAGTCAAAAACCGGTCCGATACTTTACTCTGACTCCACCGCTTTACATCATTCCAAAATTCCGTTAGCGCACCAACGAAGTTCCTACCATTATCACTGTAGATATCAGTGGGCTTACGCGTCTACCAACGCAGCCTATCAAACATTGTGGGAATGAATCAGTCGACAGGTGCCTGACTATTTTTCCATGGAGCATGGTCGCATCCAGAGAAGCTTAATACTTAATTACGCCTCGTTTGACCAAGGTTTGGCCAACAGTCTTTTCAGGTTTGACCCAACTAATACACGGCGGGGAAAAGGTAAGTTGTCTTTCGAGCTCGGAGTGCGCACATTTATAAGGCAACAATGTTCCCCACCTCAGGGACTCGGCATACAAAATAAAATTCATCGAACGGTTTTTCCTTTGTATTTACCACGCAGTTCAAGGCTTTTATGAGGCTTTTTGATATGAGTCCTCGCGCCAGCAATCCTGGTGCCCCGCGCTGTGAACTTTTGGAGCAGTGATAAACACTTTTTTTCGCTTTCAACTTTCAGCGAATGGGAGCCGCTCAATGGTAGGAACAAACCTGGGCCAGGAAGTCCGGGCGAAAGCCTCGAGTAAGTGTAGCAATACGTGAAACACTGAAATGGAATTCTATGAGCCATTGAACTGACGAAGCAGGAGTGACCTAGAGAGTGCGCGCGGCGCGCCTCCTGATTTTTGTTTGCGGATGGCCTCAACCAAAAAAGTTGCAAAAAATGATCATCCGGACACCTTCGAGGTACTTTAGTTCAATGTGATACATTGCCCAACTTCTATAGAGCTTGTCCGAGGTGTTTCGTTGCTTCATTTGTATGGAAAAGCTGCACGATGCTCGCTTGTGTCCACATTGCTCTAAGCTCTGCTGCTACACTTGTATCAGAGTAGGTGGTCCACCACTAATTGTAATCACTCTCTAGAAATGGATAACGGAAACGCGGTCTCAATGCCCACACTGCAGGTCAGTTTCGTATGGCTTCCTTTCCGCTAGTCCAGCTCTCAAAATCAATCACTATAATCTGGCTGGAGTGCTTATTTGAGCTCTATAGTTCCAGTTTGGTCAAAAAAACCCTCGTGCTTTAAGCCGCCCCTTGGAAATCAATTCAACGAACGCTTCGAAGGTGGAGATACGCGTAAGGATTGTAGCGGTCCACACTCCCGTACTATTACAAGCTATCATCACCTATAGCATAGCTCCAGCGTTCGGCACCAATAGTTCGCTTCAAGGGGCAGTTCATTTTCCGACCAGTTTACAATGATTTCACTGACCGAATGCCAAAAAATGATTGCGGGCTGAGGTTTCGTATTGGGAGACTAGCAAGCTGACATCGGAATAAACATATACAGATGTGGTTTTGTCTGTCCGGCACCATCAAGTCCCAGCGTACACAAACAAATATCCGAACCGTTGTCAAGCGATGGGCTGACGGTGTTGCAAAGTGCACTCGTCATGAAGAGTGACAACGTATAAAAACGTAGAACTAGACCTCTGCTTTACTACCTCATCAACAATGTTGGACTACGGGCCTACACGTGTGGAGTCTGGTACCTGTGGTGATGGAAACGACGCGGGTAAAAAAACCCAAGCAGTTTGTAGTGAGCGGCTTTCCAGTAATTTACGTGGCACCAACAGTCACAAGGTTTGCTCATCGCAGCCCAATGTAACAACCGAATGATCAGCAGATAGCGATACAACCACAATACATAATGTTTAAGTAGTAGTACAATCTCGGTACGAATACGTATTTGCCGGATGACTGGGTACAGGGAGCTGTGGAGTAGTGAAGACACGGCCAATTTAACCACGGTCTGGACGAAACCGTGCGTGATATTCACGGATTTTCCCTAGGTATGCGCTGGCGAGTCTTCGTAGGATGATACTTGCGAGAATATTTGCAACAATCGCAATAAGAATGATAAATATATTGTTTCAGCATCCCAATTTGATGCCTTTTTTGAAAACAGAACACTTAAAGCTGCCACTCTGCCTCCTTCCGTATACAATCACCAGATGGGTGAGATGTCCCAAGTGGTTAGAGCGCGACTTTACTAACGGAATGTCCGTGGTTCCAACCCGACCTCTGCCTCTCGACTCCCCCTGTCTGGGTTTGGGCAAGCTGACAGTACCCCAGCCCTCGCGCTTCCCTCGGGTGGCGTGACAGCTAGACACCAGAACGTTTTTTTCAATCTCTAGAAACGGTCTCATGCATAGCGCAGTGCAACTTATCGTTCCTCCAAAGTGACGCCCTCATCAGATGTAAAAACCACGTAATTGTTTTGGTGGCCATAGCTACCAGAGTTTCGTCCATTGACAATTTCGGAAAGTATTGGTAGAATGGTACGCACTGGAGGTGACAGCTGATATAGCTGACGCACCAATACAGCTGTTAGTGCACTTTTTACTTGGAAAATAGAATGGGATGCTAATCATTGGACATAGCTTAGGTGGATGGATCACGGCGCTCTATATCAATACGCCTGTTTGGCATGTATTGAGTTCCATAATTATTGTCTGCTGTGTAGTGCCGGTGTTCCGTTGACTCTCATTTCACATTACAGGGCATCCCTCCACATCTACGAGCTTATCAACTGTCGTTGGGTGGATGAAGTCACACAACAGCTGGAAAGCCTTCAGCAGTCTCAGTCAGCCTCGTGTCGTTCCAACAATGGTCAAATTGAGAACGGTGACCCAAGCACAAGCAGCGACAAGTGAGTGTTTGCCAGCTTGTTTGACACATCTGATGTTTTCGAATCTGGATCTATTTTCATATGCTAGATTGTTAAGTAGTGATCACTTTATAGGATAATGCCCCCTAGAAACTTGCATACTTGTACATATATGTAGCCATGCCGGATCATAGTTGTCGAAGTAAAACAATGAGGCTTGGCCTGATGAAGCTTTGTGTTAAAAGCGAAAGTTCGCCCAGCTGAAAATTACTGATTGTTTACCGAATCCTTCTGAAACGGTGATTTCTCAATCGGTTTCGAAATTTTTGCAATTGCCCGAAAATAACTACGAACCATGTATCCACGAAATTTCAAGTGACTACATTCGATTGTGTAGGTTACAGTCAAACTTGGAGGACCACCGCATATTCAATAAATGATGCCTTAAGCACAGCCTAATCCCCACATTTTTACTGGTTAAGTCACGGAACAATTGATTCTGCCCGAATAGCATTCTCAGTGGTCAAATCATTCTTCAAACAGGATCTACCTGACTACTTGGCGTTTATATGATACCCGTCACCACGCTTGGTTCAACCAAGATCTTCAGACCGTGCTCTCTCCCGCAGACTTCCAATCCCTCTAAACCATAACTACAGAAGTACAAGGCATCCAAAGACAATAATGCAAACAGAGACAAATACGTAAGTTCGAAAAGCTGCTTCTCAAGACTCAGCTTTATAGTGAGTCCATAGCGAAATGTGGACCGCCTACTAGCTATTGAATTGTGGTAAATTTATTAAGTAGACTTCTAATTGAAGGCCCTTATTTGTTACAGCAAGGCTTAAACATTGCAGTAAGTAAAATAATGATAAAGGTGGAAGGAACATTACTCTGTGCTTAATCTGTGTTTCGAGAACTTCTGCCAACAGATAGAACTGATCACAATCTTTATGTTCCAACAGCCAGGATCTCAAGATATTACACCAGCAGAATGTCCAGCGTTAAACGCCTATGAACAGGTGGACAGTGTAGTCCACCTACAGTACTGTATTTACGCACTAATTTATCAACTGCCGCATCCGATGCGCAGCTACCTACCCCACCTCCCCGAATAATCGGTGAACGAAACTGTGGCAGCTACAACCGCTATACGACAATGATGATGATGATGACTTAGCGCAAGGTAATCAGTATTGATTGTGTCCAAAAAGTGCAAATCAACCACGGCTTTACGGCCTACCAAAAATTCATAAATCAGATCGCCCAGTGAGACCGCCAGTTGACGGAATGGGTTCCCCACCCCATGAGCTGACCAAATTCTTACCAGATATTCACCGGAGAATCTAGTATTTATATTTTCCACCAAAGTAGCGGGTTTCACCATGGAACCAGATGACATTCTTTCGATATCAGTTGGTTATATACAAATGTGCTAAAAGGGGACTCTTTAGAAATATCTATGCTACTGCTACTGACAGACACTACCCTTTCAGAACGGACATAGCTTACGGGAGAAAACATAGTCACTCCGTTATTGACGCTGTGGTTTACACACTGGGATCTCTACTATCCCCGGTTTTGGCAAATACATCTATGGAAGATTTTGAACAGAAAGCTTTAGCCGGATTTCCATACTAACCGAGATATTCTGGCGAAGTGGCCCAAGTGATTGGAGGGCGGATTTACTGACCGAGAGATCCGTGGTTCGAACCGGGCCTCTGCCTCTCGACTTCCCCTGTCTAGGCTTGGGCAACCTAACAATATCCCAACCCTCGTGCAACCTTCGGGTGGCATGTCAGTTAAGCACCGAAAGGGTGCTACAGCTGAACGATTATTTTATTCTGGCGTTATGTATATGACACTTTTGTCGTGATAAAACGAGACAAGGTCAGCGGGTTTTACGACCGTCTGACTGACCGGAATCCACACATTAATTCAACGTGGTGATAGAGTCACATTCGGGCATCCTGCCCTTCTTAAACTGCGTGACACATAAGGTCGGAGGAAAACTAAAAATCACAGTGTGTGAGAAGCCGACTGACACTGGGGCGCTTTTGAATTACTCGTCTGCCCATTCGAAGTCGGTATTCACTAGCATTGCCTCATCAATGATTAGCCGATTAAGGGCCCTGTGCACAGAATAAGTGGATCGGACAGCAGCCCAAATTAAAGTAGGGAACAAACTTCGGGGTAGTGAATACTTAGCAGGTTTGATTAGGCATCAGCCGGGACGGGTGCGGATACCGGTGGCGTAACCCAAAGGGGAATGAATTGGGACTGCTGTAATTTCAAATCAACCAGGGACGCAGGAAATCATTCGAAAGATCCTAAACTTGGCTAACATAAGAGTAGCTTTCCACAGGGGAAACACTGCGCTCTTTACTGGTGCATTTGAAGGATCACCTACCAGTGAACAGAGCCAGGGACTGTGTCCACAAAATTAATTGTAATGACTGCACTAAGGTCAATATCGGACAGACAGTCTGGGAACTTAGCACCAGAATCGGAGAACACAAGAAGAAAATAAACAGGCCGTCGAGGAACGTATGTCGAGCGTTACTGGATGCGGGACAAAAAATCGCTTTGGAATATTTTGAAGTTTTGAGGTAAAGACTACGATCCACGCTACAGAGACTGATTGCCGATGCGGTGGAAATCGCCAAGCATCCCAGTGTAAATTGGACAGGTGGTGGATACTACTGGTAAGGCATGCGAGTAGTATGTGTTCACGTGAATTCGCTTCGCGTCTATTGAAAAGTGGGGTTTATTACGGAATTTGTGGAATTGCTCTGTAGCATTCGTTTACATTTGAGTGATAGTCGGTGAGTATCTAGGAAAGCTCAGAGAGACGCTTTGTAGAAGAAGGCGGATACTCAGTTTTTATAAACAAGATGCATATGAGGGTTTTGCTTTCCTTCCAATAGTCTGTAACGGTTCATTTGTTGTTTTCCAATAAATGACTCCGCAGCGAAGGCCTTCTTCCTTTCAGTGGTAGCGTCCGGTCATCACGAAGATGAGTCATTAACAGAAGTAGCGTAGATCTGAAGTGCACTTGACTTCACCCAACCTCTTCCTCCCAAATAAATTTTGTAGAACTCGCACTTATTTGACCAAATTTACCAGTGGCACCCAAAGTGAATTATCAGTTGAAGCACCTCAAACCGGAAGGTCAAGGAACCAATCCCAATCAAATGCAATTTGAACTCCCCTACGACCCATCAACCGTAAGATTTAGGCAACCACACTAACTGTCAAGATCCTTTAACTGGCATTCAACAGTCATTTAGTATGGTAATATGAAGGGCACTTAATAATTGGTTCTCCGTCCGCATTACAACCTGTCTAATTCGGTGACCTGCTCACTTATCTTGATGAAGCCTTTGTGTCCAAAGAGGAGCCTTGTCTTTTAAGTACTACCGATTGTTTACGAAGCCCTTTTGAAACGACTTGTCAGTTGGTTCCAAACTTCTTCCAATTGGTCAAAGACCTTTATAATCGTTGGCAGGCTCGGTTATCTGGGTCACGAATGTAAACAATAAAAAATAACTTATCACGAAGACTTATTCGTATCTGGCAGTGAAAGCAAAAAATGTGGCATTATCTTGGATTATATATTCATTTCTCAGCTGTTTTACCTTTATACTGCGTTTCAACCATGAGCTGTTCTGACAAATTGCACCATGTAGGTACCCAGGGTTGATCTGCCGGCCAAGTCAAATAAAAAGACCTCTTTGGTGTGCCGGCTTTGTGAATCGGCCGTGTTGATGACAACTACTTGAAGTGCTGGATGACTATGATGCCTTTCTTGGTGAGAGACTCAGTCATTTATGGGACCACGTGGTATATCCTATCCGTTTTTGGGGCGGGTTTTTTCTCCAAAAGATTGTAATGAAAAGTTGTGTGATTCTTCCGGGGCCGATGATTAAGTTGATTAGATTGAGTGTTTAATTTGAGGTTGCGTTCGTTTGCTGAGCAGCTTCGAATCAGTCTTTCTTTGGTAACCAAGACAACATAAAGCTCCCCATCGAGTGCAACAATGTATCCGGGTGAGTGCCAGGTAGAAGCTCACTGTGTTGCTTATTTCTTTGGATAGGCTGGTAATATGCGTTGCCATCATCATCGTTTGCAACAATCTATATCATGATAACTTACTCCCCTCCATAAAGCAAACTACTCAAAGGTTGCTGAAGACTCTTCCACAGTTCATGGTGGGTTTCGCCCTTCTTGGGGCTCATCAGGTAGGTGCAGTCCCCGAGTTTCCAGACGACCTTACGTCCTACTTGAACCCGAATTGAACAGGTCTCAACAAACACACCCATCTGCATATCAATTTGGTTTTCATGAAAGCCTCAACTAAATCTTTCGTTTATGATATTCTTCAACTAAATGTGCTGCCTTATCTTTTAGTTGGTACAATATTCGAGATATCGCAGCATATTTTAATGAAAGAAACTGCTCACAAGTTTGATGAAAACTCTTCAACAGCCCATACCCGGTTTCGCCGTTTTCCGGTCGTGGGCTCTCGAAGGGCTTTCAGCAGCCTTGTGAGTAGTATTTTCTGTGAAAATACGCTGCGATATCTCGAATGTCGTGCCAACTGAAACATGAGGCGGCCTTTGTGCAACACATTCAGTTGAAAAATATCCCTTACGAGAGGTTCAGTCGAGTATTCCCTGAAAATCCTGTTGATACACGAACCCAGTTTCTTCCACTCCATGGCTATTTTCCGGCTTTTCTTATTTCTGTGCGATGGGCTGCTTCACTTTGGACTAGAGTGTTGGAATACCGTCACATCCGATTTCTTATTATGACACCTAGATTTTACTGGTGTTCCAATTGCTATGGGTATTCGATATTAGTTTTCTTCGTGTAAAGCCATCTTCGTCCTCGGCTGTTTTCCTTCTGGCTTATAAAGCTCCTTTGTTTACCGATCAGACAGTACGCGATTAAAAAATGAAATCATCATCATCATCTTCGACAGCATGACATCAGTGTTCAACACCGATGCTTCACTGCCGTACAACCATGACTTATTTGAAAGTCTCATTGTAAAGAAAATAAATGTGGACGGGGAAGGGACTTAGTGCTAGCTTAACACAATCATTCCGAGGTGC